ACCAAATTAATAGCATATACATTAATTTCATCTGGATTGGCTGCTTTGTTTTTAGATTATTACCTGACACTCATACTTACCATTAAAATGGGTTAAATACTTGATTCTGATTGGTCGAAGTTCCATAACAACGGTATTTTATAATCAGAAGCAAAAGCGCATCATAACCACAGAATCTTAAGAGTTAATGATGATGCCTTTTAATGTAAAATCTATAAAGATATTGCCAAGTAGTCTTATTTCTATGCACCGTTCCTTTGAATCAATACTTAAACTTGTTTGCACTTTAAGTGAAATAATGAATAGTGAATTGGTGGTTATGCAAAATAGGACCTTGTTGGGATTCTATTTTGTATTACAACCTGCTCACTATACATATTCATTTACTTAAAGAGAGCCTTTGGTGTGATGGTCTTAAAGAGAGCCTGAGAAGGTTATCTACTTCTGTGTTAATCCTACAAATTTTGCATTTAGCTCAGGGTAAATCTATTTTCAAGTTCACCCTTTTTCTGAATATAATCACAAACATGTCAGGTATCAAAAACAAGCTCACAAAATGTATCCCCCCATCTTTCCCAAAGGTACGAAAGAGAAACAGTCCAAGGGCAGCTTCCTATTTCGCATGTTTTTTTTAGTTTTTAATCCATTCACCTTTTTATTTAGTTGTGTTGAGATCAATGGTGCAAAGGGATAAATTGGCAATCTGTCCTTGGGAAATTAATTGGATGAAGCCGTTATAAAACAGGGCTCAGAACATTGCAGCTGGTTGACAATTTACCAATCTGATGTCATCTTCCAAACAAATTTATTAACACAGCTGTATCTCTATGCGAAGGTTTAGTTATTTATTAGCTCATTACCTCGTGGAAGGCTACGACTTCAAGCTTGTTAGGCGCGGAGCTAAGTGCGCACATTTAAACCATGTCAAGGTACGAAGGGGCTTTGATGGCGCTTACTCTGCTTCAAAACAAATTTTTTAAAAACGGCTTTGGCTTTGAGGAATTAAGAAAATGGAAATACTTGTTGATGCAGCTGGCATTTTAGATTTATTAAATGTGTGCGGTAATAACAAAACTGTAATTTGTATTTACATCACAAAAGCTACATCTACTCTTTCATACTTCCACCGGGGTGAATCTGTTTTCTATTTATTAACATCACATGAATTTGTACGTGATACTCGTACAGTAAACAAATGTAACACAATAGGAGGAAAAGAAAATAAAGTGTGTAAACAGGAGCACATGCATGGATGCACAACAGCCAAGAGAGCATGCAAACTGCACACAAGATGCGGTTATGCTAATGTAATGGTAATCAGTAGTTAATTAAAAACGCTTCAGTGCCCCTACAGTAAGTCAATACAAGTAACCTAGAAGGAGCTCTCTTATTAATGTATGCTGTATGTCCTGGTGAGTTTGTCTTAAACACAGATTTAAACATAAGTCTTGAAGATGGACCAGTTGGGAACTATGAGCATGTTTGGGGAGTTGGTGTCTGTACTGTAAATAAAAACCATTCTAAGGCCCTTTAAGCTTGACTTACTCATTCTTATGGCCCCTGTGAGAAGTTTTATGATGTTTATAAAATGCACCAAAATTCATACTGATGCTTTTTTATGATGTATAAAAGCAAATAAGACCAAAACCAATAATAAAAAAGCATTGTTTATGTCGTTATTTTAAAGGAAGGGTAGGCAGGATCTGAGGAAGTGCCAGTTTTTAGGAGAAATCTTGAATGTAAACACGACCCCTCCCAACCAGTTTTCCCCTTAGCTTCTCCTCTCCCTTCTGTCTCTGTTCCAGCAAGCCCCACCCACAAACAGACGCTCCTGCTCGCTCGTATCATGTCAATTAAATCCAGATATAATGCAGATAAATACTCCAGATAATTACAAATGGGGCCCAATCAACGTGAAAGTAAAAAGCATTGGTGCTACTGTAGATGACAACAGACTACCAGCAAAAACAACTAGGATAAAGTGACATAGTCCAAGACCCGAGGTAAACAGTTTAGCGGCGCTACAACACGCTTCAATAGCTAACAGCTATTGAATGATATATATTTTTTAATTTGTATATATACCACAAAAAAAGATGCTTCTTTAACGGAAACCTGCCCACCCCACCATTTAATGTCTGAAACTCAAACATTTAGAGGACATGATGAGTTGCGATTGCTTTGTCCACAGGGGGCGCCAAAACTGACACAAAACAAAAGTTCCTCACAGGAGCTTTAAATAAAGCAGAAATTCTATTTTGGAAGCAAACGACAATTAAAGGTGGTTTTCCAGATGTGTTAGCTACCTATGCCATGGGTACAACATCTGGTCCCTCTCTCTCTATAGTTGGATCCATGATTCCCATAAAGGATGCCATATTTTGTTTTATTAGACCACAGAGCAGTTTCTACGTTCCCTTTAACATTCAGAAGGCATGAATCATCCGTGCTGGTGGTGTACCGTCTTCTTTCATACCACATCAGCTAATTTATTCTTAAAAGACTATCCCCCCCAGATTCAGGCTGAGTACTCCAGTGCATTTCAGCATGATGGGCATCAGCTACAATGGCTGAGCTCACACACTCACACACATCCATTCAGGGCTGATGAGCACTGGCTCTCTTGAGACAGCTTGGTGAGAACAGCGAGGTGGAATATTCATGCCACTGAGCAAGAGCTGGGAATCACTTGAAATGCACTGAGTGGTGTTGTCGAGTCATAATGGTAACAATTACCAAACTGAGGAGGTTCGCTTTTTGAAATAAGGCCCGCTTCACCGTCCAATTAACGCTAGGATGCACCCACTGAATTCCCAGTGTTAGCGCGGCTGAAAGGTTATCCGTGCAGTTAGGCCTCATGCCCGTGCACTATCAAACGCCACCGCCACATTCAGAGCCCGCTCATTGGTCTGACACTGAGACAGATCTCTGTGCAAGCCAGATGAAATGGGCGTGATGCAGAGAGAGCCGTTTCTGAATGGGAGATTGAATTACCCAGGAGCCCTTATAGGAGGTTCATTACAGTCAGGCCATCCAAGATCTCCTGATTCATAGCTCCCTCGCCCTCTTTTTTCCCCCATGTGTTTGTGCATGTGTGTATGCACCAGTGATGGTAACATTTGCAGACTGATGTGGTAAACAATCCTGATGGGCAGCACTGAGGGTAATCAGGGGTAGACGTCCTCATGAGCCGTGCAGCATCTAATTGGATTATTTCAGGTTAAAGCACACAAAGGTATGACTAAAGCTCAGCCTTCCACCAGATAGTATATATACCCCTTTACGTCCCTGTTCTCTCTGGTGTGTCAGGTGGAGTAGCTCAAACGCATGATTCAGGGTTAGGAGTGCAATAGCTTTCTCGATTTGATTTCGAGATATTCAAAACCAATGTGACACAAGCAGTTGTTTGTAGAGGGGTGGGACCTCGATGCCCTGCATCACTAAAGTGAGTCATGCTTATTCTCCTCGGTTTGCTTTGGGTCCTATTGACACTTTTTCCATGCTATCGAAGATTCTATCAAGTCCACCGACCGAAAACTTCTGTTAAAGCTCCTGTGACTGGTTTATAACATGAATGAAAACAGACTGAAATTCATTTTGATGCATTTTTATGATTATTAACCATTATCAACATAACTGCCTATTTGAATTTTGTGTTTTTTAACGCCTGAAGTCAGTGTGAGGCGTTACGTGTAAGTGGCACCACTGACGGAAACGCCCTGTTTTTAAGAGCTTTAACTTAAAAGGATATTCCGGTGTAATAATCATTTAGGATCAAACAGACTGTAACACCGAGTTAGACACCACCCACAGAGAGATGAATGTTGCCGACTGCTTGCTTCTCTAGTTATACCAACTTTAGTAACAACCGCACGACCAAAACGCCACTCTATAGCCACAAATAATGATCAGAACAGCACTTAACTTCATCAACAGTACATACAGGGTCCTAGCCACAGCACTAGCCACCAAACTTTGCCTAATTTCTTTAGCAAAATGACTAAACACAACTCACCTACTCTCTTCCAGCAGCCACTTGTTTGTAGCGAGACCTCAGGCCAGTCTCTTATGGACTACAGTGGAGTGACGCAACTCAAGGAAGAACATTTATGATCATTTCTTCATGGAAATGCAATCAGTCTTAGACGCTAAGGCAGAACAACTACTGGTCTGCTGGAAGAGAGTAGGTGAGTTGTGTTTAGTCTCTTTGCTAAAGAAATTAGGGAAAGTTAAAAAGATTTGGTGGCTAGTGCTGTGGCTAGGACCCTATATGTCCTGTTGATGAAGTTAGGTGCTGTTCTGAGCATTATTTGTGGCTATAGAGTGGTGGTTTGGTTGAGATTTGTGTATGGCTCCTCAGACCACTGTGTATTGCTATCGTGCGGTCGTTACTAAAGTTGGTATAACTAGGGAAGCAAGCGGTCGGCAACATTCATCTCCGTGTTATGATGTGTTTGACCCTAACTTAATTTTACGCCAGAATATCCCTTTAAGCTGCTTCGTAGGACAGTAGTCCTATCTAACTCCAACTCTTGCAAATGTATTTAAAGGGTTTAGACACCAAAAGGACTTGATTATGTTCAGAGAAAATATCAGTATTTTCTACTTTTTTTCAACAGTTTCACCAAAGTTTGATCAATCTTGTTTGTCTTGATTTACTGTTTTCAAACTGTCAAAAACTGAATCTCTAAGTCATTGGATGCATCTCTTTATGCCTCGCTCCCACCGCTCAGTTTCAGAGACTTTTATGCGACAGATTTTGTTGCAAAAATCCAGTGTAAGACTGCCAAATAGAAAGAGCGCCAACAGGTGACGCCTCAACATATGGGAGGTAAAAGGTGACAAGCAGTGGCGAGTCCAAGCTCTTGACAGGGCTGAGTGCAGAGCGGCCGGGGCACTACTCGACTGAACACCACTACAGCCCAGCATGCTCCTCTTCCAACCATCCCTGCCATTACCACTGGCTCTATCAGTGCTATTTATAGTTGGCTAACCTTTTGTTACTGGGCCCCCATCCAACCACTCTCCCTCTGTCTCACTCTCTCTCCAGCTCTGTCACTGAGTGGCCTCTGGATCGCCACGTCCCTTCCAGCCTGGGATTGGAAGCGATAATTATGCCGACTCTTCACTTCAGAATACCCATTGTTAACCCTCCGGGGGCCACATTTCAGGTGGCCAATGAATATGTCTGCCGGAGCCATAGCTTTGGAGAGTGATTCACCTTTTATCATGCTATGTTTCATGCTTTGCTAGGTCCAAGGGACCTTTATGACAGCTCCTGCAGTCATGTAAGGGGGGACCAGTGCTTCGTTCTACAGTGTATAAAGGACAGAAAAAGACCTTTGCTAAAGTTTGGCCAGAAATTGTCAAACTTTATACTGTTATCTTTTCTTGCAATTGAACAGAAGGGCAGTGCAAATGTCTTTTAGAGCAGTTTCACACACAGAGTTTGCAAACCAAGAGTTTTGAAGTATGGCAGCACATTCACAACACAGTGTGACACTGTTTCTGTACAACAATAACAGTAACAAGCAACTCCAAAACAAAATACAACCAGCTCTGCAACTTGACTTTGATGTAACTACTAACAACCAACCTATTCTAGGGTCACAAACAAACTTAAAACACAATCTCAGTTGTCCCACAATTGTTTCATTAAACACAAAAAATATTTTATTAAAAATTCACAAAATTAAAATATATTAAACAACAATGACAGAAAATAATACACAGAAACAAAAAAAACAACAACAAAACAAACGAACAAACAAAAAAACATAAACCAATGTTTGAAAAGAAACTTTCATGAAAAAAAATGTGCAAAATTACAAAATATTCATTGAGCACAAAAACAGAGATCTTGAAAAAGATAATTTTTGAGATTTATTTAGCACTCAATTCCCTTTTTTTGTTTGTATTTTGAAACCAGTGTTTGAATTGCTTTAAGTTCTTTTTAAAATCTTTTAAAGTATTTTTGAGTTCTTTTTTGTTTTTAAAATGTTTTTTATTATGTATTCTAACAAATCGTTACTCTTTCTCGATTCATGATTTTTTTTTTACGTTTTGCAAAATGTCTTATTTGTTATGTTGCATTATTAAAGCTCCAGTAAGGAACTTTTTAATGTCAATGAAATCACCCAAAAAGTTTGTTGCTATTTTATGATATACAAAAACAAAACAAAACAAAACAAAAAAGGTAAACAGAAAAAGGTTTAAAACATTTTATATTGTTGTTTTTAAAGCTCCAAATGAGTGTGTGGAAGTGTCACAATTAATGATTAATTATAATGTTTGAACTTAAGCATATAGAGTACGATATAGGCGAGAACTGCTTAGTCCACAGGGGGCGCCAAAGTTGAAAGTTCTTCAAAGGATTTCATTAATTTTTTTTGCATCCAATTGAATATTTTGAGTTCAATAAAATGTTACAGTAATTAAATGTTGGTGTAATTGACCTTCAGGGCCACCGTACCATGTCATATAGTGGACTTTTCCATGTTATTTTGATTGACAGCAGATAACAAACACACAGTTAAGAGCTTCAGCACTAATCCAATCAAACTTCTTCATCTTAGCTCTGTCCAAACTTGCATTTACAGCGGACATATGTTTCCCATTTCTGAGCATTACACGAGTCTTAATAGCTTACTTCTATACTATTCCCCAGGATCCATTTCTGCTATACTGAGCATAAACAGTGGGGTGGATATTCCTGCTGCAGAGTCCTGGTGATGCAGCAGTTTTCCCTGGCTCGCTCCCTGTCCAGATGCCTTTTCTGCTTCATGACAGCTGCACTTGTGGATGATCCATTTAACTAATAGACCAGTATTTAAATGCATCTGTTCGGAGGAGGTGGTTGTGTTCCAAACAGGCACATTGTGAGCTGCTGACATTTTCACTGCGAGGAAAGGCAGAGGATGTATAAATAGGCGCTTGACGTTCTTTTAACCACGTAGCTGAGGCAGATGCAGACCTGGGAACGGATGACATTTTAAAAAGCAATGTTTCATTTTGATCCTTTATCATAAGGAAAACTAATTAAATGTACTTTTCTGCAGCAGGTAGCGTCGAGGAGTATAGCTGTTGTTGCTGGTTTATATTTTAAGGTACATATTCGTGTACTTTTCCATTGCGTGGTTGCGCCTTCCTGTTAGTATGACTGGGTCTACAATCATTCAGCCTGTATGTCGTCAACTTATACAAATTCTAGTCACACCTACTGGACAAACAAACATAATTGTTTGTTTTAAGACATCTGCAGCGTGGGTCCAAATGCATTTACCATCAGCATATTTTGCTCAATTGCGACTACTTTGCTATGTTTATAGTATTTTTGTATTTCATGCCCATCATCCACTTCATTGCCTCTCTGCCTTCTCTAAGTGCTGTGTTTTACCACACTTATTACCATTTTTGGATGGGGGTAAGTGAGGTAGGGAGTTAAAAAACAGAAGCGGAATGAGAGGCAGTACAGCCAATACAACAAATCAGCATTACTTGGTATGCATGAAGCGGCCGGCGCTATCGTGTTATAAATTGGCGTGTGGCAGCAGGCCAACAGTGCATTGCATTAGTCAGATGCCCTCAATGTAATAAAATGCAGTAGAAGGAAAGCGAGTGGAGAAAAAAAAAAAAAGTCAAGGCACTTTCTGTAGATTGAGATCTCAAAAAGGGAAGTAGGCGAACAATATATCTTAGAAGAAGCTCCGACCAGTGGAGAAGATCCTATCAGCGTGCAGGATTATTCCGGACTAAATGAGATGACATTCACTTTGACGAATAATTTCCTCCTGTTGTATGCATATAAAGAAAACTCAAATTGGAAACCTGCATTTGTACGGCTTGAGGGAGGGAATTTAAAACCACAATCTTTTTGCTTTTGTGCAATCTCTCACAGCTGCACGTAGAACAATTTATTTCCCAGAATGCAGGAATCCATGCTTTTTTTTTTCCCAGTTTGTTTGTTTGGTACTATATTTTGGCCCTGTCAGCTTATTTCTAACAATGGAGAACAAGTCTGATATACAGTGAAGAGAAGCATCCGTTTTTTGAAAAGTGAGGCAAACAGGAATGCAGAGGTTGAGTTACAGGAGGTAGGAAAAATTATGTGTTGTGAAAATACCTTTCCTTCTTACACACTATATTTATCCCACACTGAATTTATACACCTTTGCAGACAGTTTTCATCCCAAGGCTCACCCTATCTTTTCGTAACCAAGCTAGACGTTATATTGTACTGCAGTTTACTGTTTTCATGTACTTCTTTATCTTGTCTGACGTAATCTTCGAGCCTGTGTGTTTCATTCAACCTTCGTACATTGTGGAATGAGTATTGCTTTTTCGCTTTCTTCTCTTGAGCGTTCGTCAATTCTCTCTGCGGAAAGATTGTTAGATTCTCGCCAGTCAATGATGAACTAAGAAACCAGTTACAGAACAACATTGATCTGATGCATCAATCTGTACCTCATTTATCTGGTGGTTTTGTGAAAGTTGAAGGTCTATCTTTGCTTTCTGTGTACGGCAGTGTTTCATCCATCTGTCTTTCCAATGTTCTTCTCAGCACGTTGAAACAAAGCAGCGTGAAGCAACTGTCCCTTCCATCAATCGATGGATAGACATAGCAATGGGAATCCAATGTAACCCCAAAAGTAGTATCTTCAAGTGGTCGAAATGCAAGCGGTAAAAAAATCAGTGTGTAATGGACAAAGAATATAAAGATAACAGACATAGCCAACTTGTTGCCGCCAACTCACTCCCCAAACATACAGCTGCCTACTTGTTGGTTTTCTGGAGCCATGTTGGGGTTGGCCAACACCAAGTTATCAAAAAGAAACATGTAAACACCAATGGCAGCTTTGCTAACTGGTGAACTACCCTGTTAAAAGTTGTACCTGTGGTAGCGGCTGACCTCCTTTGTTATTATTCAGCTAAGAGAGCTAAAGGATGTTACTGACTTGTTGATTGAGAATGGTGTGACTCTTACTGTTTAATTCTGAACATAGTAACAAGTAGAGGTTGGAATCACTAGTTGCCCCAAAATATGATGCGATATTATCACGATGCTTGGGCCATGATATGATATTTATTCCTTTTCAAAGATTTTGCAATGCAGTGAGTATTGCGATACCACATTTTGCGATTTATACAACTTCTTCAACTGCTTAGTTGATTTAGCATTTGTCTTTCCTTTTTGTTTGTCTTAGTTACGCAACATTTTATTTTCATGTAGCACATCTTACAAACCTCTGCCAACCTCAGTGGATAAACAATTGATTTTATTTTTCCATTATCAGAGATTTGACTGCATATGAGCAATTAATTTGAAAAAAAAAAATCGATACTTCGTACATGAGATGATACAATATATCACAGCTGAAATATTGGGATACTACGCTCTATTAATTCTACCATTCTTACTATCAAGCCAGGCTTGGCAAGGACAGTATACCTGCAACTAAACCTGAACGTCCACACAAAACGTTCAGAGTTTTATGGCAAATCGGTGCCATCACCAACATAGACGCCCAAGTTTTTCCATCCACTATTGGGATAAATTAATGAAATCAACAAAACAAACATGGAGAGAAGGTTCCCGTTGAATGGCTGAAATGGTTGTACCTTCTTGTCATCTCAAGGCCCTGCCCATGATAAAAACAGTTTTTCTTTCATGCTGTTTATGTTCTTAGAGGACATTTGGATAAGGCTACTACTGAGTTTTTATGTCTTTGGAGTTGTTGATTTTAGATGCCTCTAGATAAATCAACGCTTATTAGCTGGTTTTGAGTTACGAAGGGCGACCATGGCAAACCGTCCAACCAGGATAGAGACTTTGAGCTTTAAAATGACACAAAGGTGTTGGCTGAAACTCCAAACAGAGCAAACAGCTCTCATATTCAGGTGTCTAAGCCTATTTTCTCTAGTCAATATTACAATCATGGGTTGGGATAAGAACATAGTGGTGCACAATCAACGCAGAAATACATGCCGCTGGAACAAGCGACAAGCGAACAATACTTTCCAATTGGCATTTTGAGAAAAACTAGCATGCTTGTAACATCCAGAAATAATTTATACTTTTCATGGATTGATGATTTTTAGATTAGCAACAGAGTTCTGTCTCTTCTCTCTACAAATACAAATGAGTTCTGGCCTCCTCTAACCCGATGCTGCACCATTATGCAGATTGCACCGGGAAAGAAGA